CCCTTCCCCAAAAGGTGGAAGCTGATACCATCCGTGAGTCCTTTGATATACTGACCTGAAGCACTACAGGGTATGTGAAACTGCCATAACCAATGTCAAAAGTTAAAAGCTGAAAACACGATCTGCATCTAAAACAAAACCACAAAGTAACACAAAACTATATTCTCTTTACTACTTTGACTCCATTAGTTGGTGTCATATTAATAATTACTACGGTTAAATTTCAATATCTCTACGAATTAAAAACAGCAGTGGCTTAGATAACCTAAAATAGCTTGGAATTAATTCCTGAATTTAGATCCTGCTTTATTATTCCTTACAGAAAATAAAATTACCTAGGAAGCCAGACACATTAAACCAGACAACAAAGTTATTTATAAAAACTTCAACATGAAAAAGAAAACTCTCCGCGTCCTGCGTGCTAGTCACTTACTAACCTAACAGGCATACTAAGTTCAAGTTGAAGTGCCCCCTCTGTTTTTGCCCACTACATTCAATGTTTCCTTAGAACAAAGTCAGGACATTATAATCAAGCAAACTAAGATATGGGGGTAGGAGTTATGGAATTTTCTTAATAAAGATCTTTGTTTCTCTCTCTGCATATCCAATCAGTGATATGATTTTTGAAATCATAAGATATTTGAAAATAATATTTTTTATTCATAAATTTGTTAGGTAAAATTACATAGTATCAGGACTAAGCATAGATGATAGAAGTAACTGAGTTTCAACAAAAACCACAACTTAAACATTAACTTTAAACACTTAACACTTTATTTCTTGTCACTGTTGAGATACTATCATATTTGTAACCTGTTCTAAAATTCGGGGATTTATAAATTAGGTCATGTGTCACCTTTGTCTACTGAAATAAAATTTTCCAAGTATCACCTACTTGTGATAATTAAAATATATTTTCACCAACAACTTTAGAAGACAGGTTTTTCTCTTTAATTAAAATCTGTTTTTACCTCCTGTAGATCACCTTTGTCTACTGACATAAAATTTTCCAAGCATCACCTACTTGTGATGATTAAAATATATTTTCACCAACAACTTTTAGAAGACAGGTTTTTCTCTTTAATTAAAATTTGTTTTTACCTATTGATGGTCTTTGGTCCCAGGGTAGATGTTTCACTGAATACTTCTGCTGCTAGCAGGAGTTTGCTAATTGCTTCCTTCATATTATCAAAAGCCTGAAGAGATGAGCTGGCCCTCAGGAATGTCTCAAAAAATGTTTGCAGCTATGAACAAAAAAAAAAAAAAAAAAAAAAAGGATTCATAGGTTGAAACAACAGTTTCCATTCGTTTTCTCTATCATTTCCAAGATGACCACTGGAAAGACTCCTCCAGGTTATCCTTCCCGGTCACCCTCAAAACACCTCCTTCCACAGGAAAGATCAATGATTTCAGGATATGTACGCCAAGAGGAGTTTGAATATTTTGTAATTTAAATTAATTTAGTGCTACCTCCACTTTGTTTTGCTAGTTTCATATCACCCTGGAATGTGCCGTGGAACTATATAACAAGGCTTGTGATCAGAACTCTCAAGTTGAATTTGTGGCTCTGCTAACTGGTCAAACTTGGACTTGCCTCACTCCTATAAATCTTCGTATCCTTCTCTTTAAATTGCGTTAATGCCTTCCAATACGAAAGTTTCAAAAGCCAGATTAGAAAGCCACTGTAAAGCATGAAACTCAAATGTTGGTTTTTTATTACCGATTTTCTGCACACATTAAAACAAAAACCAAGTGTATGGAAGTTGTTTCTTTGTCTTGTTATTCTAAGGAAAATCTAGCTGACAGCTAACTTTTAATGTCAAGTTTCACGTGGATAGAGAGGATGGGGCGGTATTACAAAAGGGAGCAGGAAGCTCAGGTGTCTTCTCAGAAACGCTATAGTTAGTGTCGCAAATAGCTATTTTTCATTTGCTTAAACATTCAAACAAGAACACAATAAAACTATTTCTTGAGAATGCTTAGCATTAAAATTCAAGTCAATATTTTTTTAAAGTATAAAACAAATCTCATATTGATCTCTAGACTTTGTATAGACATAGTCTTTCAAAGCTAAAACAAAAAATGTTTTTGAGAAAACATGCACCAGGTATGCCATTAATCTTTTTGGGAAAACGGACTGGACTGCATAAGAGTGCAAAGTGAAAAATGTTAGTTGTTACGATAATGTAGGACAAATACTGGCACAAGTCACTTGAGGAAAATTATAAGTAAATCTTTTAAATGCACAGGCAAAATTCCCCCAAGATAAACAAATACTGCCATCATAAACTTTTACCAGCTGAAAACTAGAAACCTAATGAGATTACATATTAAGACCTTAAGATCACACCATTTACACGAGGCAACTGGGATGTTTTTCTATTTTCCTAAGAAAAATAAATGTAATAATTATGATTAAAAGAAAACAAGCTAAAGCTAGCACTAAAATGTTAATACCTTTGAGTCAAAATAGAGTAACATTATGTTTTTCCAAATAAAAGTAACTCACCGTATTTCACTTAGTTCACTGTACTATGCAGAAATGATCATTCGTGATATTATTGATTTTCCCATTTCAATGTTACCTGAGTATCACAGAGGTTAACTTTAGTAGCCTATGAAAATCAGAGATGTCTGAGCAGCATATAAGATAGATAAGATTGATTACCAGATTATATCCTTCAGGGGGAAGCATAATTAGTAAATTAATCTTAGACATTTATTCTTCTACTGTGGAAATGATCATTATTTTTTCATTCTGACTTCAGTGGTGAGCACTGAGTATAGAGTGTCATTCAATTCCATCGTTTAGTGAGAATTCTAACATGCGGGAAGTCCTGTGCTCTGTGCTTTGGGCGACGAGGTCCATAGCACAGTGGAAGGAGTGTGCGTTCTCCCATTTAATCCTCGTAAAACCTCCATGAAGTCAGAGGATATACGCAGGGCACACCACGGCTCAGCACATCAGCATTCAGCATGTCAGTTCCTTTTATTTTTTTATTAAAACAAGACAAGTCCTCGAAACATAAACTGCTCTAAAAAAATGAGTCTTAAAAAAAATTCAAAACATGCAAGTCTGCCCTCATGCAAAGGAGATTTCAATTAAAGTGGTTGTCCAATCCAGACTCTGAGTGAAGTGCATATTTGTGACACTGACCAGGAAAGAATATTTTAAAAGTGTACAGAGTGGTCATGAAGTTCACGCCCAAGTTTAAGTTGTACACTATTTGAAATTACACACGACCTTTTTGGCCACCCTGCATTAGAAGCTTTCAACAGAATTATTTTTAAAAGAGAATAAAGAAATGGAAAGGTTGAATGGGCCTCTCCAGAGCTGTATCTGCTAAGAAAAATTTAAAAAGCAGAACTGAAGGATTCAAATAACTGTCTTTTCACTCATTTTCTTAAGAACTGAAACTGCTGAAAGAAGGTTCAGCCTGAACCCAACGATCATGAAAACAAGAGAATTAGAATGTATGTGTGTACATAGAACTGCCTTTATAGCCAGAAATGTGAAGAAGAGAGAGAAAACGCACTCGAAAAAACAACGCAAAAAGGTTATTTCTCTTATTTTTGTATAAACGAGCTCTGTTGCCAGTTTTTGTCTATGTGTGCATTCCCTTCTCTCTCACCACCTGAGTTTCGATTTATTTCAACCCTTCAATTCAAAGGAAGTTCCAAATGAGTGTGATTCTTTCTATTTGATTTACTTAGTACATTGGCAAGCAAACTGCATGTGCCAGAAATGAAAGCCAAGTCGTGCACGTATTTTTAAAAATATCACCAATTTTCAATGTTTCCCAAAGAGGGCAGAGCACGTCTATCAGTTCTTGTAAGCGAGTGCGTCTAACTAACTCCCTTAGACTTAGTAGAAGACTTTTTTGCGTGTCTGCTTATGTTGCAATGTATCCCTCTAATTGTATTTCCTTGGTCAAATTACTGGAGCTCTGTGTGTCTCAGTGTGCTCAGACAGAGAAGGACAGAACTGTGCTTGACATTCTCATCAGACAATGTCAAATCTGAAACTATCTGACATTAATTCCACTCAAATGCCACCAGAACCTGAAAAATTTTGCCCAGGAGCTTTCTTAACTCAAGCACAAATACCTAAAGGAGAAACCTCACCTTTGCTGCTAATTTAAAACAATCAAGCCCTAAATTCAAATATCAAGGAAACTTCTGCCTCTCCACACCAGCACTTCTAATCAACATTTTTGAGTTAAATAAATATGAGAATATAAATTACCAAGGAAATTAATGCCCTGGCAGTGAGATAAAAATGAGTGAAAGAACACCTTAAAATTTTTAACATGACATGAAACTATTTTATGAACTATAAATTTTCCTCCTTTGGTATAAAAATGAAATACAAATTTAGTGCAAAGTAAATTACACAGAATATGACATTGTAAGATCATGGTCGTAAAACCAGGCAGCTAAAGCATCACCGTTTGTTTGTCCCTCTGAAAAATGCAAGCAACCAGCAGTAAGGTACTTAACATTTTTACAACACTGATCCATTCAAGCAACTTCTTGAGATACCAATGGGTGGAACAAAATTCTCAATTAAAAAAGGAAGGTTGAGGTGAGCTGAAGATGAATTTAAAACTATCTATAGAAAAAGTCCGGTTTTTTATGTTAACCAGTTTGATGAGAGTATTTCAAAATGTGTATGAAAACAGCACACTGTACCCCATGATTGCATTAATGTACACAGTTATGCTATAAGAAATAAAAAAGAAAAAAAAGAAAAAGTTCGGTTTCATTTTTGATATCTTAAAATACTTCCAAGGTGCCCTTATTATCCACCTCATTTCTCCTCCTGGTAGAACCTAACAGCTCCTCCGTGCTATGTTCTGGGTTCCACCTCATTATTTTTCTCTAGCCTCCCTTAAGACCTTGGGCAAATTGCCTCTCAATGTCAATACGTGGCCTTCCTTCTGCTGAACTTGTTGATTTTCTTGGGGATTCTTCCTGCTACATTGTGAGATTTTTAAGGTCAGGAATTGTCCCTTTTTATCTTTGGTTTTCCAGGGCCTAAGGCAGAGTGGGCATTCAGTAAATGCTGTGGAGTGAAAAAGCCTAACTATCGCGGCACAGAAACCACGGAGACCTTGATAAGAGAAATAGTTTCCTGTAGCTGCTGGATAATGTCACTTTCCTCCTTACGCTAGCATGTTTATCTCTTGCTTCCATCCTTGAGAGAGGGAGAATACACACTTTCTCTGGTGACTTGTAATAAAACATTTGAAAAATAGAAGATTACAGCTGTTTGAGAGAATTTTTGAGATTAGAAAATTCTGAGATAAGACAAGGTAAGAGTTAGAACAAAGGATAAAAGATTAGTCAATATTAATGTTTTTTTTTTTTTTAAGTTCATTCACTGGGAAACTACAGCAGGAGCCTACACTTCAATATTTTGAACTTTAGATAGTGTTTAATAGTATTGTGCTTTATCGAAGTTCACCAAGATTTCTCTCAAGGTTACCATGCGAGAGATTTTTACTCTGCCTAATTAAAAAAGAATATTGGTATTTAAAGTCATTTTCCACCAACAATCAAATAAAAAGATGCTCAATATCACTAATTATTTGGGGAAGGAAGTTAAAACGATGGTGAAATATCACCTCAACCCTCTTAGTGTAGTTAACAAAACCAAAACAGAGAATAACAGGTGTTGACAAGGATATGAATAGATTGGAATCCTCGTGTTCTATTGGTGGGAAAGTAAAATGGGGTAGCCCCTTGGAAAACAGTGCAGTGGTTCCTCAAAAAAATTAAAACTGGAATTAGCCTATGACCCAGCAATTCCACCGTCTGGGTCTACAGGAGAAAGAGTTGGAAGCAGGGTGTCAAAGGGATATTTGCACTTTCAGGTTCCTAAGAGCATTATTTACAACAGCTAAGAGGTGAAAGCAAGTGGACATCAAGGATGAAGGGATAAACAAAACATGGCACATGTAAATAACGATTAGCATCTAGCCTTAAAGGGCAGGAAATGCTGACTCCTGACACGGTTGAATCGCGAGGACATTGTGCTGTGTATATTAATCCCGTAAGAAACACGCGGTGTGATTCCCTTCCCTGCGGTGGTGTCTAGAGCAGTCAAATGCACAGAAAGAGAAAGTGGAAAGGTGTTTGTCAGGGGTTGGGGGAGGAGAAATGGGCAGTTTTGTTTAATGGGTATATAATTTCAGTTGTGCAAAAAGTTCTGGAGATCAGTTGCACCACAGTGTGAAGATTC